AAGGCAGAGGCAGGATTGCTTGAGCTCAGGAGTTCAAGGCCAGCCTGAGCAAGAACAAGAACTTGTCTCTACTAAAAATAGAAAAATCAGCTGGGCTTCATCCTGTGCCTATTAGTCTCAGCTACTTCAGAGGCTAAGGCAGGAGGATGGCTTGAGCCCAGGAGTTTGAGCTATGATGACACCACTGCACTCCAGCCAGGGCGACAGAGCGAGACTCTGTCTCAAAAAAAAAAAAAAAAAAAAAAATCAAGATTGTTAAATAGTTAATTTTCAAAATGTTTAGCTTTTAATAAAACTGGCAGTTTACATTACTTATTAGTCAATTCTCCATGTTACCTCTCCTATGTAATGAAGGCAAAATGTTGATTCTACCTTTATCTTTTACCAATTCTCTTATGTGTTATAAATTCCCCGTTCAGCTCTTCCTAGAAATTAAACTTCATTCCTTTCTCTCTAAGGGTGTAGAAAGCCTCTTTCTATTCTTCAATAAATTTTCAATAACATATGGGCTATGGTGTTACCAGTATACCCACATGTAAAAGAAAGGAAGCTCTGGAATATAGTTCAGAAAGTAGAATGAAAAAGGCACAGAAATAAAACAGGCCGGATACCTGAATAGGTGAGGGCTAGTAGGGAACCTCTAGAAAAGGGCTTGCCCTTTCTGTGAACGACACCAACAAAAATCTGGCCCTAAGATTCTTAAGAAAGTTATATTTGGTAAATTTTTAAAATTCCTTCTTGTTTTTTCCAAATCTTCAAAAGAGCTTTATCATTATAGAATGTCCGTCTATACTGATGTGAAGTAACAGATCATATTGTTACAAATAATGTTCAACGTCTCTACTTAGGAAAATCTGTTCTGAAAAAAAGTTATCTTTATATTGTAAAAACAGATTTCTTTTCACCTGCCCTGCCATTTCTCCTTCAGCTTTCTCTCAACCATTCTATTTGTGGGCTTTGAAGAAAAGGTTTGGAGCCAACCAGAATCACTGCGTAATTCATCTTTACACATAAATTTGAAAACTATACTTCTCCCCTCAATTAATCATAAAATTACTTTATAGCCTGGGGTCTACAATAACATTAGAAAATGTAAAAGAAACTAATATTTATTGAATGTCCGTAATGTAGTATTAATCATCTCATTTAATCTTCATGACCGTGAGTTAGAATGATTAAAAAACTACAACCAGTAGGGTGACAAGTCAAATCATGTGGTAATTTCAGTTTTGCCTGTTCAGGGTACTGTTCTATCTCATTTTACTGGTAAGAACATGCCAATTTCCTTTGAGGAACTCCTCCCTCATTCCTCGTTTGGAGGTATAGGTCCATCCCATTATCTCACATGTGTAACTCTACCTCTCCCCTGCACATTTCCCCTCAATAAAATGAGGCATTTCACTCAGGCCTGACCAGTCAGAGCCTTCTCTGAGATGTTATGTGTTGAGGACTACCTAAGCCCCTCTGCAGTGGGAGAGAATAAGAACAACATAGAGAAGAAAACAGAGAAAAGTTGGTATGAGACATTTCAGAGAGAAAGAGAAGCGAAGTCCTGGTTGACTTGAATCTCCAGCAGGACCAACTTTTTGGACAGGCAGCCTGTGTAGTCACACACAGTTCTGAACTTGGAAAGACTCCACACTAGGTTTCATGCTCTGCCATCTGGAAATTCTAAATAATTTTAGACAAGAAACCTTGCTTTTTAATTTTTCAAATTATGTAGCCAGTCATGATCACCAGTTCCATATCGAGTTCCTTCTATTGTGTGAACTTCCCAAGTATTTTTCTCAGTGATGTGAGAAAATAAAATGCTTTTCTGTGCTTAAGCTAGTTTGAGTTAAAAATTTGTGACTTGCAATGGAAGCAGTTCTGACAAATGCATCTCCAAACCGCACTTTCTATCAGTCCTGAGGTTGTGATACTATCAACCTCTGATTATCTGGGAAGGATAAATTATTCGCTTATGAATGATTTATGACAGAGTTCTAACACTAAATGTTATTTTCCTGCCATCTGTCATGTTTTCAGCTAACTTCACAACATCAATTAGGTAGTCCATGGAATGAAAACTAATATTAACATTATCTC